TTTGACGGGTAATTGGCACTTTGCACCGTCGAATTACATGCTTTTGGCACTTTGCACCCTTAAATTGCACCCTCCAATTACAATTTGTTTTGCATATTTGCACTCTGCTACATCTATGGTTGGAAAAGTGACCTAAGCATGTAATTCGAGGGTGCAAAGTGCCAATTACGCTTCCTTTGACCCTACACCTAGTGATAAATATCGGGTGGGTCTCATGTTGAACGTGTACTTTTGAATTTTTCTAAAACCCCTACAGGTTATCCCTGGGGAATATATAATAAATAATTAAATATGACACGTGTGAGCAGAAGACCTACCCGGTATTTATCACAAGGTGTAGGGTCGAAAGAATCATATTTATGTATATCTATGTATGTATGTATATGTATGTATGGATTATTATTATGAGCGGAAAATATTTATTGGGCAACAGCTTAATCCCACTTTGCACCCTTGAAAAACAATAATAGCACTTTGCACCCTCAAAACACAATAAATCATTCACAATGCACCCTTAATTGAATAATAAAGGATAATTCATTTTTTATTGATTTTTTTTCCGGAGTGCAAAATAACAAATTAAATTGTTATTTTCTTCAACCTCCAACCTAATTTCGAGCGCATAAAGTGCGAGAAAAATAAAAATTACACCGAATAATTGAAAAAAATATATTTGCTTACAAAATAAAATCAAATAAACTAATATCACTAAATTATTTGAATGATAGATCTTTTATTGTAATTGGTGGAAATATTAGGTAGAAATATTTGGAAGAAAATATGATAATCACATAAAAAATATTTTGTGATTAAAAATATAATTTTTAAATACCGCTAAAAATATTAAATTATATTTATTAGCTTTAAAAACTTGCATTATGCATGATATATTATCTTTCTAGGGTGCAAAATGCCATTAACTTTTTTCGAGGGTGTAAAGTACGAAAATTGTACAGTGGGATTAAGCCTTGGGCAAACTAAAAGTTTTCTGGAAGAAATTGGGAGGGCAATAAGTGAATTTGCTGGAAAATTTGTGGTTTAAACAGCAATATTAAAAAAAAATGCAAAAACAGGGGAAAAGGAGAAAAAAAATTTTGATTAGTCTGTCAGACAGCTGCACGACCACCCCAGCCAGCCAAAGCTAGCCGAGAACGATCCTCTACTCGAGTCAACTGGGCAGGGCCAGTGAGTCCGTTAATCACGTTCTGGTCGAGCAGGCATGGTTCATCCACCAGACATGGTTTCCTGTCTCCTTAGAATCCAGGATACAGAGGTACGAAGCTATTGAACAGATCCTGTGCAAGTACGGTCGCGTCATTTAATGCTTAAGCAACGGCTAATATGAACGGTTTCGATTGTATCTTAATCTTCCGATGTGGGACGTAAGTTTTCTTAATTACATTCAATTACTCCTTAATTGTGTATTTAATTGTTATTAATAATTTATTAAGGCCCATGTCAATTTTAAAAAGTAGAATTTTTAGTTTTCCCCGTCTAAACGTTCGAGCCCCATAGTTCTGGTCGCCTTAAATAAATTAAATTGAATCCTTGATTTCTCCACTTGGACTAATTGTTATAGAGATCAAGACATTTAAAGATGAAAAAGATTCATTTAATTTTGTTTTTCATTTACGGACATCCCTATTTATTTTAGGTAAATACCACTTAAGCCCCCTATGGTTACAAGTTTTTGCGGATGGTCTCTTTGTACTTGCAATATCAGCAGTGGCGAGTCCATAAATTTGGTATATGGTGAGCTTAAATTTTCGAGGGTTTGGGGGCAGCGCCCCCAAAAAAAAGTTTAGGATTTTTTAAGGATTCTTTTTGAAAATATGAAAAGAAGAAACGAAAAAAAAAAAACAAATTTTAGGTATTTTTTTTGCATTAATTTGGATTTTGGGTGGGCTAATTAATAAAATTTTGGATTTTTTTGTATTAATTTGGATTTTGAGAAGGCTATTTAATAAAAAAAAAATGGGGCTTCTTTTGCATAATTGAAATTTTGGGTGGGCTAAATAGATATATAGTATATTGGTGGGAAATTGTAAATTGAGGGTGGGCTTGAGTCACCCTTGCCTAAGGGCGGACTCGCCTCTAAATATAAGCACATAAAACTCCCTTGTGGTTGATAGAGGTAGCGTCCGTTAGGTTTTCTGTCAAACTTCAATAGGGTTATATACAAAATTAAAGGGGAAAATGTAAGCACAAGGGGTCATCTGCAAAATATAATATTTTGATATTTGACACCAGTATTTAATTTTGACGGAAAAACTAACACAAACTACCCCTTACAAACTACAAGGGGGCTATGTACAGAGTATAAGATGGTCATCTAAAAAAGTTTGTAACCACATGGGTCTCAAATGTTATTTACCCTATATTTTACTTTTTAATTTATATTTAGGGTAAGTAACAATTAACCCCTTTTGTGGTTTGAGTTTTGTGCACATGACCCCCTTGTACTTTTAATATTGCACATAACCTCTTTGTATTTTAATATAAGCACATAAAATCCTTGTACTTTCAATAATTTTATCTTCTTAATGAGCATGATTATTTACCAAGTGAAATATCATATGAGGGTTATGTGCTTATTTTAAAAGTACAAGGGGTTCATGTCCACAAAGTTCAAACTACAGGAGAGTTATGTGTTTATATTGAAAGTACAAGGATGTCATGTGCACAAAGCTCAAACCTAAGGGGTTAAAGTGCTATTTATCCTTCTATATATCATATATGCCATTGCCGTAGAAGAATCACTTATTCAAGCTATAGACAACCGCATACTATAATCTGAGAATGAGATTTCAAAGACAACTTAAAAACTATGAATTGTACCTTATTATGCATCAAATGATTGTCTATAAATTAACTCATGGCTTCAATTAAAGAGATGCATGATCACTAATAATATTGTTACGAAATGTAATTAACCATGGTAGTAAACGATGGCAAATGCTCTCGTTTCTCTCTCTGTCGTGTTATTCTTGTCTGCTACCTTTTACGTGCTCGAGCAGACGCACAACAAATGCAACCACCGGACGGAGATTGTGTAGTGCGGCCTAAAGGATGGGAATCCGGTGCAACTGAACACCTCAGAGTCGGAATACCTTGGAAACCGGGATTCCGAGAATTCGTTAATGTGGTAGTTGATCCCAAGACAAACCGTACGTATGCAAAAGGATTTTGCATCGATATTTTCTTAGCTACATTGAAGGTGTGCCATTCTCTGTCAACTACCAATTTCATATCTATAATGATAGCTTATATAGTAATTGGAGTTATGATGCTATGCTTCAGAAGATACCTAAGGTAATTCGGTTTTTTAATTTTTTTTTTTATGTTTTACTTAGGCTCTGTTTGGATCAAGAAAAATGTTGATTCAATTTCATCACCAATTTTTTGCTTTAGGAACCAACCAATCATATTAGAGATTTTTCATTTTTTTCATTTCAAAATCCATTAACCAAACAAAGCCTTAAGATCGATCACTTAACAAGAATTTCGCTTAAACAAAAAGTTATAGTGTCGCATTTTCTTATTCCGTTTGATTTTTCCGTAATTATCATAAATAGGAATATGATATGGTGGTGGCGGATGCAACAATTTGGGCTCCACGGTTATCTTACGTTGATTTTACGCACCCGTACGTCGACTCGGGAGTTGTTCTAGTCGTAAAAAACAAGAAACCTTTCAGTATGTGGATTTTTGTGAAACCCCTAAGATGGGATTTGTGGCTAGCAATCATTGCGGCATGCATTTTGCTCGGAGTAACTCTTCGCGTATTGGAACGCCGTCGCCAAGTAACTAACAATATCGAAGAATCAAATAGCCCACGCACCGAGCAACGCCGTCGCCGCGTAACTAACAATGACGAAGAATCAGATAGCCCCCGCACTGAGCAACGACGCGGAAGGATTTATTGCTTTCCACTATCATTTCTTGCTTTCCCGGAAAGTAAATATTATTGCTTCGTTGAATTTGCCGTTTTTACACTATATCCTTAATAGTTTTTTTTCGTGCTCGTTTGTTGGTTGTTTATAGCATTCATACTAATGTTTGTGTTTTTTACATCGGCCTATAAAAAAAATTCTATTGTTGCTGACAGTTAATATGCTCAAAAACAAGTGGTCGGTTTTCGTGCTCGTTTGTTGGTTGTTTATGGCATTCGTACTAATGCAGAGTTTCACTGCAAATTTATCCGCCATTCTGACGGTTGATCAATTAGAATTCGCGTTTTCTGACGATTACTATGTGGGCTACCATAAGGGTTCCTTCATGAAAGAATTCTTGATAGAACATCTACATATTAGAGAATCGAGAATGAGGGACTACTTATCGACCGAAGAATACCACGATGCTTTGTCGAAAGGCAGCCAAAACGGAGGCGTCGACGCCGTGTTCGATGAGCTTCCTTACATGAAGCTTTTGCTCAACCGCTATAAATCCCAATACAAAATGGTGGGACCCACTTATCGTACGGGTGGAATGGGCTTCGTAAGTTTTCTTCCCCCCTTCGAATTAATTTTATTAATTAAAATAAATTTGTATCTTGTGATGAAATGCTAACGTTTTATATCAGGCTTTCCCGATTGGGTCGCCCTTAGTTGCGCACTTTTCAAGGGCGATCTTGAATGTCACCCAAGGCCCGAACATGGTTTTTTTCGAACAGAAGAATTTCGGGCCGGGATTTTCTTCACAAGACCCTCTATCATCCGCAATAACTCAAGGGACATCCGGCCTTACTCTATTTGAATTTGGTGGTCTATTCATTATTACCGGGTCACTGGTTGCGTTTGCTCTAATCTACTCGGAGAGAGAAATAATTACGCGTAAACTCACTAATACGATGAGATGTTTTTTCCCATTTTGCTTCGATCCACGTCCCGGCGAGGTAGAGGTTCCACGTGATAACGGAGGCGCAACAAATGGTGAAAGGAACGGAACTCATCAAGACACTGGTGATACACCGCAGCCTCATTCACCACAACATTCTCCTCCAGCTCCCGGAGAACCGGCCCGACAAGGTGCGGTAATAATTGATGTAGCAGGCTAACATAATGAGATAATTCATGCTCAATAAGATAGAGGAGTGAATCACGTGTAACGCTGACCAGTCACCCATAAATTCGGTCTTCGTTAAATAAAGCTCTCGACCTCTCGTGATCAATCATGTGTAATGTCGATATCATGGTTTATTTTATTGCTCATAAAATAAATTGGTGTTAGGAAAGACGCAAATCCTAGCATTATAGTGCATTCAGTACACATAAGCGCCCACGACATTCAGTACACACGTACATCGAAAAATCGTTCCTCTCGCTTCCGAGAATACATTTCCTAATAAATAAATTAAAAACACAAAACGAAGAACACCAACATTACAGAATCTAGCACAAGTTTGGAGATTCAGCACTAGATAATTTCTTTTTTCCCCCTAAATAATAGATTAGATACAAAACTAAAAATAGGAATATATATACGAGAAAAATGTTTTTACATTAATAAATTAGTCGAAACTAATTAATCTCCCCTTACCATATTCGAATGATGTGGCACTCTCTTAATCTCCACAAATGTCGAGAACTCCTTGCTAATCGGTTGTTTCCATGGCTCCCCATCCATTTGCATATATGATTTTTTTCCACTCTCCTCCTCTAAGCTCAAATCGGATCGCTGAAGCCTGGAGCAGTATAGTTTGTTTAGTTTAAACAAGAAGGATATTTTCGTAATTTAGACAAATCTCGGAGGATAATTTTATAATTTTATCTATAATAGTTTGGTTTAATCCCACTTTGCACTCTCGAAATATACCATTTTGACACTTTGCACCCTTGAAACAAATTAATAGCACTTTGCACCCTAGAAACACAATATATCATCCATAATGCACCCCAAATGAATTTCTAAAGCTAATAAAGTCGATTTAATATTTTTAGTGGTATTCTTTTAGGATTCCAAATGTCAAATAATTTTTTTTTATTCATCGATCATTTTGAAACTATAAAGTGCAAAAATTAAAATAAATTTCATCAACATATTTAAAAAAAAAAATTTATCACAAAAAGAATATTTTACTAAACAAAAATCATTCAGGTATTTTGTTATCAAGTTACCTGAAAATCATATTTTCTTCCAAATATTTCTATATAATATTTCTACCAATTACAGTAAAAGATCCATCAATCTAATAATTTAGTGATAAAAATTTATTTTATTTTATTTTGTAAGAAAATATAGTTTTTTCAATAATTCGGTGTGATTTTTATTTTTTCGCACTTTGTGCGCTCGAAATTAGGTTGGAGGTTGAAAAAAATAACTTTTTATTTTGAACCCCGGAAAAAAAAACAATAAAAATGAAATTATCTTTATTATTCAATTCAGGGTGCATTGTGAGGGTGCAAAGTGCTATTATAATTTTTCAAGGGTGCAAAGTGCCAAAAGGCTCTATTTCAAGAGTGCAAAGTGAGACTAAGCCTAATAGTTTAAACCAAAATCACAATATATACCTGGGCTATGTGTTTTGCAGATATGAGTTCAGCCATCACCATTGAAGCATGCCATCCTTGTTTTAAACCGAAGATTTCCAGATATCCATCATCCGCACGAGCCTCAACGAATCCTCTCTGTGACAATGAATAAATAAATAAATAAAATAAAATAAACGAATAACAAAACGAAAAATAAAAACGAGCTAAATACCTTTTCAAGATAATCTGGCTTTAAATTGCCCCATGGATTTCTTCCACTTCCATAGCTAGGAAGATTAAGAACAACGATAGATCGTACACTGGAAGTATCCATATAATAGTACAAAGTCGATTAAGCAGAAATTGTATCGAAAATCGAATTTAGAAAAAAAGTTGTAAATTAGTTAAGTATACACATTAAACCTCTGTAAATTAATATAGACGGGACTAGCAAAATTCTATTAATTTAGCGAAATATTAAATTATTGAACTAATAATTTAGAAGGTTTTTACCGAGTCGGGACCAGAAAAAACTATTATTTAAGCGAGGTTATTAATTTATCGAGTATTAATTTATTGAAGTTGATTTGTGGGTATAAAAATGATAATTCAGACAGCAAAATGTATTCTTGCAGAAAAGAACTAACCTCGACGCCACAGAGATTTGCTCCCACTTAGAACTATTGACCTTTTTAATGAATATTCTCAAGATGTTCTTCAAAGACCTACACAACAATATTAAGAAAAAATCGACACTGAAATAACGAGTATTGCAACATATTGAACTAATTGAAATGCAGAATTTTAAATTACGACACGTCTGGAGAAAATTCGTTACACGTGAAACCGTACCTCAAACCGGGATTGCTGCTGCATGGCGTGAAGAACCATCCTTGCTTGCAACTGTATCCGGAATATATTATCTGAATTCAAAATGCACAATTTAAAAACGCCACGGGAGAGGAAATTATCTATATAAATAATTTTAAAAAAATAATATATTAATTTTAGAAATTGGAAGAGTAATTTACACCTTGTTTGAGATGGGACCACGAGCGAGGTAAGGTCGTTCATTGCGTAAATGGTGGAATCCGTGAGCCACTTGAGCATCCATTCCTTCATCCACATAGCAAAGTTATTTCTCCTTCGTCAACCAGAGCAACATAATACAACATAATATACAAACATATATATATATATATAGAGAGAGAGAGAGAGAGAGAGAGAGAGGGGGGGGGGGGATCATATTGAAATTAAAATGCAGACCTATGCTGAAATAATTATAAAAGACTCCTTGATAGCATGAAACCTTCTCCGGAAGCTCCCCTTCAACTTCTAGCTCCTGCAAAATTAAAAATAAAACTTAAATACGCAAAACACGAAAGTAAAAAATAGATATACTCTTTGGAATTAGCACAAAAATCTTGGAGTAACAAGTATATGTAATAGATAATTTACGGAGCTGTTCACTCGTCCATCACGAAATTTAACTCGTGCATTATTTATCAAAATCTACTACCAAAATGCGCAAGCAGCTAAAATTAAAATCAACAAACATTCAGAATTAAAATCGATACTTTTTGTAAAAAAACAAGAAATAAATTCAGCCAAAAACCTGATCGAGAGGTGTCTCTTCTGTTTCCTTCAAAGAATACGGTGTATCCAATTTCTTGCCAGCTGGCATTGATATTAAAACCTGCCAACTGCACATTAAGCCTCATGTTTAGTAAAACTGCAAACGCAGTGAAAACAATATAAAAACCAAAATACGATGATTAACTAAAGAAGGCAAAGTCATAGAAAAATTAAAGACTTTCACCTATCGAGACGAACAACAGGGCCACGAGCGACCTTGTCAAGTGTTCTTTTAATCGATGATTTCCAGTTAAAAGGGAACGAGCCACCCTGCAAAACGGCCATTCAAAATATCTATAAGAACCTTCTAGAATGTGAAAGAAATACGCACATTGGAACCTTCTAGAACTTGATGAAAGCTTACCCAACCAAAACTTCTCGACAAATCATTTCCAGTACCAAGTGGTATAATTCCAGTTGGAGGAACTGTCGAGCCTGTACCCTGTTTGTTTAGTTCTCCCAGACAACCTAGGACCCAGCCTACCGTGCCATCACCGCCCGCCACCTGTCAAAAAAAAAAATAGATATATTATAGTTTTCCAATTAAATTTGTCGTAACCATAACAATTACAATAGTATATGTATGTATATGTACCACAATCCTAAGTTTTTCAAGAGTCTGTTTCGCGCAGGTGTCTCCAAGACTGGCGAAGTTCTCAAGGCAAGACAATCCGTACTGAACGAATTCGTGAGGTTTCACGGTCGAGAGGTCGAAAACCTGTTTAACAGTTTAACTGGGAATAAGAAAGACGAATTTACGACGAATATATTTTGTTTGTAATGAACTGTCGACCACAATTACGTGCGAATGTAAACAATGTTGGACGATACTGCTTCAGATTATAACACTCGATTATCGTGTTTAGCACGTATTGTCTGAATTATTGATCGGTACAACTTTCGAACCTCGTAAATTCAAAAAAGAAATTGCATTTTAGTCCTTAGAAAGAAAGAGTTGAAACATACACCTCCATATCCAGGCTGTTCATTATTGCACACAAGTTGCCAAACATTAATTAACTAATAATTGACAAGAATAATGAACTTTTCATCGTGTCCCATATGATGGATGTAAAACATATATAGGGCAAATTATGGTCACCTCCCTGAGTTAAGATTAAATTACAAAGAAACCCCTACTGTTTGGGTAATTACAATCATCCCCTCAACTATATATTGTCTTACACGTCCACCCTTACAGTGTCAAATTTACATATTCAAGGAGGAGCGGTCGTAATTACCCAAACAAGATGGATTTTTTCGTTTGATCTTACCTCAAGGAGGTGGCCGTAATTTGCCCTACATATATACACACATATGTGTGTGTGTGTATGTTAATTAGTGTTTATATGATGTAATTCTAATTAGCAGTAATGTTGAAACCTATTTTCACGAGTGAAAAAAAAAATTCCCAAAGAAAAAACAAGGGATAAATAAAATAATTGATTTATCATAAAATCAAAATTTAAAAAAAAAAATCACTAATTAATTAATCGCAGGAGATGACAACATATATACTGAACAGAACAGACTGCACATCCACACACACGAGAGTATAATGTACTTGTTCGCACGTACGCTTACACGTGCCAAAAAATAAGCCGTAACAGTCAGTCTAATAGATTTTACCTGTTCTTCGGCCATGAGTTCTTCGAGCCGGGCCTTGAGCTCGGGCCCGTGGCGCCCGCCGCTCTTCGAATTGACAAACACCACAATCGGCCACTCAGCCGGCTCGGCTCCGTCGGCGGCGCGAGCCGCCTCGTGGAACCGAACCACGGCGGAGGCGGAGGCGTCTTTTCCCCGGATCGCCTCCCTCATGGCGAGCCGGAGGTACTCCGGCAAAGTGATTTTCTTCCGGAGCTCCTCCTTCTGAATACGCACGCCGGAGAGAGTGAAGCCGCGCAGGGAGTCGAGCAGGGAGGACCGGCCCGAAGTGGAACTTCCTCTCGGCGTGCCGCTCGGGTCCATCGGAACTGGTTGAATTTACGATTCTACCCTTCGCCGTCGGAAAAAGGAGAAGTTTTTTTTTTTTGGGGTGGGTGGGAATTACGGAAATGCCACACGTGCTCAACGGTTTAAATAGCGCTTTCTCTCTCCTCTCTCTCTCTCTCTATATATATATATTCAGTGATAACTGTATGGCGCACTTGAAAAAGGGGGTGAGGAGAGAGAAGAAGGAAAATACATGGACGCGCAACGCGGGTAAGGAATCTTCAAGGCGAATGCCAGAATGGGGAAAATATTAAATTAAATCGCCATTATTTATTTATATTATATTTTGCCAAAATTGAATATTATAAAAAGAAGAACAAAGTGAAAAATGCTTTATTGCAAGAATTTGAAAAGTAAATACTATTTCATCATTTTCTAAAAAAATTCTAGAAAAAAAAAAAGCGTTTTGTAAGAAAAATATTAAAAAAAAAATTGTTTTGTATTTTATTGAAAATAATTTTTAATTATAAGTCAAATCAAAATCGTGTTTAAAGAAAAGATAAGTCTTTGAATAATTTTTGGTAACAAAGATAATTTCGTTTTAGGATTGTTAATTTAGTTAAGCCGATAATTCAATTTAAATAATGTAACATCGTTGTGGAGGAACAATTACTAAATTTTCTTTAAACTACACACAATTTGTTAACATGATTTTGTTGTTATTTTATGTTTTTAACATATAAATAAACATTTGACTTTGTTTAATATTATTGTAATAAATCATAAGGCATGGGAAATCGCCTTATTAATGAGACGGATAATAGGGAAGGTGAGAATTGCAAATAGCCAAAATTGAAAATTGGAAGTCGATTGTTGCCGTTGACTTGACGTAGCCATGATTTTGTACCTTGTTTGGGTCAATTGTTTTACTTGCTGTGGATGGTCATAGATTTTGACTTCTTATTCATGGCGAAAAAAATATTATTTAACAACAACAACGAATTCGTGTATGTTTAAGATTTTTAAAATAATTTTTCAAAATAAATTTTAAAGTTTATTTCTCCTTGAGATACGGTTTGATAGTTACGATAAAAAAAATTGAGTGTTACAGTAAATATTGTCTTCGTTACAAAACAAACAAATATTATTTTATTTTCCAAAATTTTCTTCTACAATATATTTTTCTAACATTTTTCAACATCATATTTTCAAAAAGTTGGAATGAAAATGTTCCAAAATTGATTAAAAAAAGGGGTCTAATTGAAATAAGTGGAAATGAGAAATTATATTCCAATTTCCACCGTTAAAGAGTAAAGAGGTTCTACCGTAAAATAATTGTCAAACTCCATTATAAATTTACAGCAGTAAATGGACACAAATGCCCTTTGTTATAATTTTGTGGACGATATTCTCTCTGATTTCTGAGTGAAGTATCAAGCATGTAGGGTTCAGTTAGTAGTTATTATAACTTATAAGCTCTAGATGCAGAATTAAACTTATGCCAACTGTACTTCGAATTAATTATCATCATTTTTTATTTATTTTATTTATTTCAAATTGGGCAAAGGAATTAGATACGTGTCGTTTTCTTATTGGATGAATGTGTTCCAGGGTGGAGGGAACATACATAAATAAATAAGTTATGTTGTAAATTATGTTATCTTTGCAGGCTTGCTTTTGTCTACTACACTTGTCCTAATTAAATTATAGTGTAAATTACAAACACCCCTGAGGTATGGTCAAATTACAAAATCCCCCCTCTTGTTTGGATAATTACATCTAGCCCCCTCAACTATGATTTTTTCTTACACATCCACCCTTATGGTGCCAAATTCAACATAATCATCTAGATTCCATGGAATGTGCTCTAGTTTGTACTCGTTTTATGTAGAAAATACAGTTTTCGATGCACCACAAACTGATATATACAAGCTAAAAATCACATATTATGATCGTCTTGCTTCATAATGTAGAGTTTGAATGAGATAAAACAGGTACAAAAGTGATAATATTCCATATAATCTCGAAAATTCCACTAAATTTGAGGAGTTGAGGGGGTGGTTGTAATTATCCAAACAAGAGGGAAGTTTCTGTAATTTGACCATACCATAGGGGGTGTTTGTAATTTACCCTTAAATTATATAAACAGTACATCGATTCCTTCGTCTTAATTGTTACAGGAAAACATACACTGGAATTTTTTAAATTATTTTTAAATATTATTTCAATCTATACTTTATGATATTATGACAGTCACTATAAAAAATAAATAAATTTATATATTATTATATAACTTTTTTTAAAGTGTATGTATGCAGGCAAAATATGTGAGTTGTGTGTCCACTTGGAGATGGTGTCTTTAATCTGGTTGGTGAGTGATACTACAACTTCACATGTATCACAACACCCAAAACCCCATTGTGTCGGTCAAATGGATGTTAGAAGGAGTTCATAATTATAATATTTTAATGCTTCTTGAAATATTTTAATTTTAATTTATTTTTTTTTTAATTTTTCACAAGCAAGTTGACAGGGTTTATTTGTTGCAAATATTTTGCATTTTTCAATATTATATATGATATATCTCCATTTTCATTTTGAACTACAAATCACTAGGGGAAGTTACAGTTTCGTCCCTTACGTTCGTACCGATTTCACAAAAGACACATTTGATCCAATGTGTTTCAAGAATTTAACACTTTTTGTTATTTTCGATAATTTATAGTTAGCCCGTCAGTTAAGATAGTGATGATCATATGCTTAATTCCGTTGGGTACTAACATAAAATGACATATATGACCAAAAGTGTTGATTTTTTTTAAATATAAAGGACTAAATGTGTTTTTTGTGAACATAAGGAACCAAATGTAGAATCGGTTCAAAAATTAAGAGACTAAAATTGAAAATTTCCCTATACATTTGCTATAGTTCAAAAGGTGGTTGAGTGTTTTTAATTTTTATTACATTGCGTCGTGACATTAAAAAGTTGCTGCAAATTAAATTCCTTTTGAGTGATGATTTCATTATGGATAGTTTTGGTAGATTTATTTGTTTTTTAATTTCATTTTTTTGTTTCAAAAAATCTATGAGATTTTCTTTTATATTTTTCCTTTTTTCTGAAATTGAAATAAATAATTAAGCTTTATAAAAATAAAAAAATAATTCTATTCACTAAATTATAACATAAGAAAACTGAAAATAAGATCAATGTTATAGAAATTAGTACATGTCCTTTATTATTGAAGTCAATGTACAATGTTTAAATTGCGCTAATCTCGTATTTTCCATTGTAGTAGATTTGATTTATTTTAAATGAATTATTATACCAAACTCATTTAAAGTTTGGAGGTTGGTTGAGAGCACGGCTTTGGATTTTTCTTATTATTTTTATTTTATTCGAGAAAATGTTTAATTTTACCAAACTCATTAAAATTTAGGAAATTGGTTAATAGTATGGTTTTGGATGCTTTCTTATTATTGTTATTTGGTTAAGAAAAACTAACTTATATCATTTAATAGCCTTCACATGATCCATAGAAGCAACTTCTATTTAATAGCACATTGTCTTATAATATCTGATTAATAGTAGGGCCATTTTTATTAAAACAACCAAATGTTGTTTAATGTGTTTTTAGTTGTACCTAATGATATACAACGGCTGATATTTAACCATTGGTACGGTGAAATAATTCTCCACTAAAATCTCATACATATACGTGACGATTGTTGTGCAGATCAACAATTAATAATCACAGGGGCGGAACCAGGATTAGAAAATTAGGGGGCCAACTAAAATTTTGGAGTTCGGGTTGGGCCCTGTAGCAAAAAAATTTAGGTTCACAAGACATTGCGAAAATGGTTTATATTGCTAATTTTTAATTAAAATAATATATATATAAATAAAATTTAATCATATTTCAAGCATGACAAAAAAATTTAAATTATTCTAATAATATACTTAATGGGATTCATGGTACCGTCTCATATTATTTTTTAGAGACATTGATAAAAAAAAAATCAAAAATAAGTAAATATTCATAAATTTTATTTAAAATAATACAAGTTTTAACCATTTTATTTTATATTTTTATATTAAATATGATATATATATATATATATATATATATATATATATATATATATATATATATATATATATATATATATATATATATCTATAATTTATATAACATTATGGAGAATAAACAAAAAAATTAAGGGTTAAGACACATATTTACAAAACCTTTGAAGGTCCCAAAAGTAATATTCCAAAAATATAATGCATAAATACCTAAAAAAAGAATTATTCTTGGGGGGTCAACAGTCCCCCGCCCCTTAGTAGTACCGTCAATGAATAATCACCCAATGTATTTCATCAAGTATAACATCAAAAAAATCTCTACAAATGTAAGTGTGTAATAACCGGTCGATCTTTCATTTCATACAAATTTACACTAGTAACTAGAGAAAAGAAACTACTTCAGGAACAAAACTAATTCCAATTTGAATTCCAAAAAAATCAAAATTTAGAAATCGTTCAAATTCCAAAAGCTATGGAAATTTCAAAAATCACATATGATAAACTGAAATATTTTAAAATTAACTATAATGATTCCAATTGCACTAGACATCTATTTTCTTTCGTTTGAAGCCACCTATTTTTAAATACCACAAAATTCTGAACCCTCTTCTGATAAGGTTTTTCTTTTTCTTTATTTACGTGAAAAATAGCAAGAAATGTTTTTGTTCTACAACATGGCCCATAATGTAAACATATTAAATATTTTTTTTTTTTTTTTTTTTGGTAATGCAGGAACCCGCAGCCAACCATATAGGTGAACTGGGTAAACCTACACTCTCGTATAATAGCTTGCAAACCATACGAGAGATGTAAACCACACTGGGCTAACCATGTGTGACAAGCTCGACCTAGCGACCGTTGACAAGGGGATTCGAACTTGGGTCAATTGACAACATATTAAATATTTAATTTATTTTACAATGAGTAAAATAAAATACATATGTATATTGTTGGGAAAATGATGAATACAGAACGGCTTTTAGTAAATGTAGGATATTGTTTTTTAATTTTTATTTTTATCCATATTTTAGAACGTATTTTAGTAGCTACAGACATTTTACTATAAAAATTAATTATCATTCATTATTTTCTATTAACGGTTTACAAAACTACATTTATTCTCTACAACTTTCAATCTCAAACACATCTGAATAAACTCTATAAATTCTATATTATTCGTTTATACTAGAATCGCCTTTAAATGTCGTGACATGATTTCGGTCCAAATTAGTGACAAAATTAATATATATTATAAAATTTGGCACAAAAAGAAAATGAAAATTTCGCACATAAAACAAGAAACTTTTAATTTTCCGCATCGAAATGATTTTTTTACTTCACTTTCAGCCGCATCATCCTCCAAAACCAGTAAAATCCTTGCTCTTGGTGGTTAATGATTTAAAAGAATAAGATGAGATATATTAGGTTTTGAATTTTTAAATAAAGTGTCTACATTAATCAAAACTCTTCATGTGATATTCTCCATGTCGTTAAAAACTTCTAAAAGAAAGGATTTGACAAAATAAGATGGATATTAATTAATTAGCATTTGATTTTTGTAAATAAAATATCCTATATTTACTAAAACATGTCCTGCATTTATCACCACCCATATTGTTGGCATATGTTTTTGAAAATAAATTGAAATTTTCAAAATTAATTTTGAAATTAAATCGGATATTGAGAATTCCAATTATTTTTATATAATTCCAATACCAATAAAAAAAATTCAAAAAATATTGAAAATCTTAATGAAAAATCGAAACTTTTTGAACCTAAACCGGCAGAAACTGAAAATTCTTAGTTAATAAAGAAATCAAGTAAAATCTTAGTTAATTAAATTATTTGTAGAAGGTTAATAATAATTTCAATAACTTTTTCAATATAAATTGAAATTGAATTATTAATTTCAATCACTTTTTGAATGAAAATTAAAAGTCCTGCATTTATCGCCACCCATATTGTTGGCATATGTTTTTGAAAATAAATTGAAATTTTCAAAATTAATTTTGAAATTAAATCGGATATTGAGAATTCCAATTATTTTTATATAATTCCAATACCAATAAAAAAATTTCAAAAAATATTGAAAATCTGAATGAAAAATCGAAACTTTTTGAACCTAAACCGGCAGAAACTGAAAATTCTTAGTTAATAAAGAAATCAAGTAAAATCTTAGTTAATTAAATTATTTGTAGAAGGTTAATAATAATTTCAATAACTTTTTCAATATAAATTGAAATTGAATTATTAATTTCAATCACTTTTAGAATAAAAATTAAAAGTGAACGAACTTCGCCGTCTGTGGGAATCGAACCCACGACCACATGGTTAAAAGCCATGCGCTCTACCAGCTGAGCTAAGACGGCTTGACATTGTTTGATTATTATCTTAATTAATTAATAAATATATTATTTACATTAATCTATCAAATTACGACAGACTCAAATATAGCATATCTTGTTTACCTTTTTCTTTTTTCTTAATAAATATTTTGCTGGTATGTTATAGAATATAGAATGGTTAATATTGGCACAATTGTAATTAGGGGTCTAAATTGAACTTTGCAAAAAAAAAAAAAAATAATAATAATAATAATAATAATAATAACAACAAATAAAAAAATAAAATAAAAAACCTCTGCCAAATTACTATAATCAGTCTTTCTTTTCCCCCACAAACATTTCAATATTTGTGAAAGGACCCAGTTCAAGATTCAGACAAAAGATTAGGTTTGCGCCAAAACAAAATTACCCACAGTTCGTTGTACGGAAACGCATTCCCACTAAACTAAATTACGTTGTCTTTTTCATTCCCATGTCAATTTTCACCGGTCAAAATGCTTTATCCGTTGTTTCATGTTGGATTAGTTAATTCTTTTAATCGGAGGAGTAGCAGTTGACAAACTCATTATTTGCTCATTATTTCTGCTCGGCATTTTGTCAAACACGTAAGATACATGATTGAGAACGAGCATACATTGTGCTGCCCAGAATCTGATTGGGATGAAATTTCTTTTTTAATTTCTCCCCCCAAATGGGGAAATTAATTTTAGGGTTTTTGCTGGTCTTGATTTTTCTATTGATGTTCCCTTTGTTGACCTATTTACATAATTCATTTCCTTTTCTGGGTTTCAGTTCTGGGCGATTCTTGAATTTCAGAGCTCACCCTTCTGTCCGTACAATTCATTCTCTCTCTAGAAGGTAATAATTTGCTCTTTTTTTTGGGATAATTTCAATTGTTACCTTATATATATATATATATATATATATATATATATATATATATATATATATATATATATATATATATATATATATATATATATATATATATATATATATATATATATATATATATATATATATATATATATATTTATTAATACCCTCGAATGATCTCAAAAGAACACGTAAATTTCCTTTTGCGGTTTTGTAAGGAACGGGTTGAATCACACTTAGAGATTTATTTTGAATGTATATCGGCCCGTATTTTCTCCACGATCGGCCTAAATCCGCAGTTATCTAAAAAAAAAAATCAACCAATAATTAACAAATATATCAAAATTATTTGTAAAATTATATAAGGTTGATTTCTCCATAGAAATGTCTATATATATATATATATATATATATATATATATATATATATATATATATATCTATCTTAAGTAAATTTAGTTATTGTTTATTTAAAAAAAAAAAAAAAAAAAAAGAGGAAAATAGCAAAACCCGAACCCGACCCGAGATAACCGGGTACCCGGTTGCCGGGTACCCGGTTATTTCGGGTCGGGTTCGGGTAATTTTTTTTTTGCAAAAAACCCGAATAACCCGACCCGAATAACCCGACCCGACCCGAATGCCCACCCCTAACAGTAATAATAATTAAAAATATTTTTTTTAAGAATAAAAAAGTCAATTAACAGTTAAATCACTGTCTCCAACAGTTAAATAACTGC